TGGAATTCCAACGCGTGGAATTCCAATACACAGCAAATATCACGTGTGAAATTACAGCGCGTGGAATTTCAATACGCAGCAAATATCACGCGTGGAATTCCAGCGCGTGGAATTACAACGCGTGGAATACCAATACATAGCAAATATGACGCGTGGAATTACAACGCGTGGAATTCCAATACATCGATTCAAAATTTTCGTTCATTCAGATAATGGTCTGTGGAATAATACACTCTGTGCTCGCCTACGAACGCTTAAAGGATCAGCGTGATGCTAATTGACCCAGAATAGCGTAATGCCGATAATGGTCACATAATTTCAAGCTATACGGGTAAAGGACTCGCACTTTTACAACCTTGTCGCTGCGACTGTCGTTATCGTGTTCGTCCACTATCGTCTGCTGTGTATTATCGATGGAATAAATTCCAGCCGAAGAAGATACGAAGCTTCATTTCTAGATCGACCGTGGGATATCAAATTGTGGAGTTAAATTGAATCATTCAATTCAGAATCATTCTAGGATAATTTTAAAGGATATAGCGTTAAAAATCCAACGTGAGCAACTTATATCCAAATAGATCCAAAGCGGATCATCTAGTGTTACAAATTAATCGACCCATTGATGTAACGTATAGATCCAATTTTTATAGTTATTCAACACTGTAGCGTAGATATACATATCGCGTATTTTATGAGTCCTCATGTTGCAAAGAACGATTACAGGGAATTATCAGCTACAAATTCTTCAATTGGAATTATTACACAACACGGTACATAAAAATAAAGAACGCCGACATAAAAAGTTACAAATCAGAATATCACTTAACGAACAAATATTTTTCTATGATTTATATTTCAATTATAGAAACTTGTACCCACGATTTAACACAGTCCGACAGTTTTTTCCTACGAAATTAGAGAGTCTCCGTTCTAATGAAATCACCGCCTAATCGTGTGTCGAAACTGTAGAACCTTTGGTATAATGATTTATCATTCCCGAACGTGTCGGTGTGCGCCATTTACATTTCCACAGTTTCTGGGTCACAGCTTTCACTTTCTTTCGTTGCTTCTTCCGCCCTTTCGGATACCCGAAGCACGGCCCTTTTCCCTTTCGTTTGATCCACTCTTTTTTTTTTTCGTTTATCGTCACAACGATAGTGATTGAACGTGACACGCAATGAAACACGCTCTACTACGAACTCAATTCTTTTTCAATAGCGTACAATAAAATCGTACAGGTACGTTTCCGATTTGCTGTAAATGGAACAAAACAGGTGTACACCTCTGTTCCAATGATGTACCATGCACTACTATACTTTTTTATGATCGTACGTTATATCACCGCCATATTGCTATTATACCAGTTATACTAGATTAATTGCGTTCGGTGCACAGGAATTGCATGGAGTTGTAAGTGCCATGTAGTGGAATTTCTACGCGTGGGAATTGCCATGAGTTGAATTTGAGGTATCCTGCAATTATTTTGAGTTCGAATTGTCAATTTGGAGTTGTCACAGGTTGGAATCGCCACGCGCGGGAATTGTCACGCGTTGGAGTTGCCACGCGCTGAAATTTCCACGCGTTGGAATTACCACGCGCTGGAATTTGCACGCGTTGGAATTGCCACGCGTTGAAATTGCCACGCGCTGGAATTGCCACTCGTTGGAATTGTCACGCGTTGAAATTGTCACGCCTTGGAATTTCCACGCGTTGGAATTGCCACGCGCTGGAATTTCCACGCGTTGGAATTGCCACGCGTTGAAATTTCCACGCGTTGGAATTGCCACGCACTGGAATTGCCACGCGTTGGAATTGGTGCGCATTGGAATTGCCACGCGTTGGAATTGCAGCACGTTGGAATTATCATGCGTTGGAATTGTAATGCGTTGAAATTGCAACAGTTTGGAATAGTCACGCGTTGGAATTGCAACGCGTCGGAATTGTCACCCCTTGGAATTGCAGCAATTTAGAATTGTCTCGCATTGGAATCGCCACGCGTGTGAATTGTCACTCGTTGGAATTGCCACACGTGTAAATTATCATGCGTTGGAATTGCCACAGTTTCGAATTGTCACGAATTGTAATTACCATGAATTATAATTGCTATCCCTTAGAATAATCACAAATTCGAATTACTATACGTTGGAATTGCCACCCATAGCAATATAACAAAATTGACGATAAAAATTCGTAGAAAATCTTCCCTCCTTTCACTCAACTTCTCCAACAAAAATCCTAATTCGAACGTTGTCTAGATAATTTTAGCAACCTCGAACAATTTCTCAATTTAGTTGCCGTATTATACTTGACGTGATTTTAATAAAATGCCCTAAGAATGTGCCCTGTCAGCCTGCCGGGGGCGGCTGTGCGTCTACTCACTTGTTGCATAAAGAGGTCGAGGTAGAAGGAAGTTTCAGAAAGAAATTGAACAGTTCTTATTTCCAGTTTGATTTACTTTTTTCCCAACTGGCATCGCTGATTAACAAGACAAGCTTTCTCGCTAAACTTTGTAATTAACATTCATCCGCGAGCAACGTCTCTCGCTATCTTTCGCTGCTATACATTCCTCTTGCGGCTTTCTTTTTTTTTATCTCTCTGTCGCGCAGCATACATTTCGTTTGATGTACCACCGCTTCTTCATATTTTTCTCGCTTTTACTGTTTCGTGTAATTGAGCATACGAATGTGGATATGCTGTATTTTTAAGTGGTTACGTAAGAGAGACGCGCAACATTGTGTTCGAATCGAGAATCCGTGGCTCGAATATATTTGTCGCGATAACAACAAACTGCTAGATGCAATGTAATTTAATTGGTGAAATAAAAAGTGGATGTAGCAACGGAAGATTACAACTATTGGTCTGTTTACAGTTTATTAGAAGCGTTAAATAAAAAAAGCTGCGATCGCGATTCGAGCACGATCGATCGATACGCGCTACTCGAAATAATCGAGGAAAATTGAAAAAAATTCTATCATAGCGCTTTGTTATATATGATGGCACCTAACCTCTAAACCTGGTGCACTGGATACGACGACAACGACGATGGCGGCAACACGCTTACAATAGTTGCCGCGTGCATTCATCGATGACACGTTATGCGCGTGCGTGCATGCGTGTGCACTTGCATATACATAGGTACGGGCGTACGTAAATGTATGCGCTATTACGGCAGGCGAGCATGGTTACTTGGACGGAAAAGAGCGTGACAATTACGCTCGAAGTGTATAAGCAAACCTCTGACAGGGGAGTGGAGAGAGAAAGAGAGAGAGAGTGAGAGGGAGTGAGGTAGCATTAGAGAAAGACGATATTCGTTGTTCGCGTTCGTTAGAACAAGAGAGACGGAGTAAAGACGATATGCGCGAGGTACGGAGAGAAAAAAGGGGGAGCCAGGGGTAAGGCAAGAAAGAGAAAGAAACGGTTGAGAAAGAGCACCACGGTGGAGAAAGAGAAAGAAAAAAGAAAAAAAAGCACGCACGCGTTTAGGGTGACGGAACACGTAAAGAGGTAAGGGCAGGGTCTGAGAGAGAGATAAAAGATAGGTTGGGAGGGTGGGATGCGCGAGGTGGATCGCTGAGGGTGCGAGACGGCGAGGGCGAGAGGGAGGGAGCGAGAGAGAGAAAGATACAACGAGAGGGAGCGAGTCGCGGCTGCGTCATGTTCTCAGCGAACTGGGTCAGTGGGTCTCCCCACCGCTTCGCATCATACATCTACTGCGACGTACACACAGAGAAGCACTGGCACTGTTGGGGAGTGCCAACGGCGTTACTGTTGACCCAGCCACGGCCTGTATGTGGCCTGTGCGCCTGCCCTGTGCCCGCTTACCGCGACTCTGTGTTTGGTTCCCCTGTGCTCTTTGAAAGCAAGAGTTGTTCTCCGCCGTCCGTTCGATTTTACTCGCGCGCGACAAAAAACAAAACCGTCCGTGCTGCTGCATCAAAGTCAACGATACCTCGCGACCTTCCGCGGGAACATCTGGTTCTATCGTTCTAAGCGTACATGTATTTCGCAACGATCAGCCGTGTGCACGTTCGATGGTTCGCTCGATCGATTTTTAAACGGATCTCGGACTTTCTCGCGGACGCGTATTTATCGGGACAAATCGGTTAAATTTTCGTTGAAAATCGGATGGGATCTCGTGCGGTTTTACGGTACCCGTAAGGTACACGTGCGTTGGGGTATCCGCCGGTAGCACCGACGACAAATACGGTCGACAAAACGGCGGCAGACCGGCGCGGGAGCGTACGAGGACAATACTTCTCCGGCCGACATAGACCTGGTTCCGTAAGTAGGTCATCCCCGCCAGCGGCTGTGCAACCTCCTTCTCCCCTCCTCCCTCGATCCCTTCGACCACGGCAATACCTCCCGTCCCTCCTCTCGCGACTCCCTCTCCTCCCGGACCGCGTGTTACCCCCCCACCATCCAGGGCACTCGGAGGCACCTCCACTACTCCGTCGGGCACCTGGCCGCGCGCGGTGGCATGCGCTGCTGAATCACTTTCACTTATGCCGTGCGCTGTGTTGGTTATACGACGTGCTTCTCTCTCTCGCACTCGACCCGTGCCCGTCGGTAAAGGGACACGCGCGCTCGTTCTCTCCTCTCCTCTATACCCACCGAAACGCCAAAGGAGCCTGACGGTGCGCGCCTCTCGCCGTTCTCCCAGTTCTGCCAATTTTATTTTATTCCGGACGGTGTCACGGTGAAGCGCGTATATTTTCTGCCGGTCGAACCCGCGCCGCGTCCGCGTCGCGTCGTGTCGTGCCGTGTCGTGTCGTCTCGTGTTCGTTTCGATCCGGTGTAAAAGCAGTGGTGGTCGCCGTTGACGGCGCGTGGTGTACCTGTACCGCCGCGACAACGCGTGTTTTTATCGGTAACGGGCAAGCGGGGCGTGGATCGAAACAAGACATCATCCCGGACCGTGTTTTTTCGCGTTCACCACCGTCGTTGTGATATATACGTGACGTGTACCGTGTCTCACGAGACGGTCTCCCGACTCTGCCTACCTCCATGTGTCTTCGGTAGGGCGGCAGAGGGGAGGGGGCGGGCCCTTCGGGAAAGCAACGAGGCGAGAAGACAACTAGTCGTACGCAGATTGCCGAGCTGTCAAGTCGTACGTTCGGACAACTGGAAGATCCTCTTTTTGTTTCTTTTTCTCACTTTATCTCTCTCTCCCTCGCTCTTTCACCGGACTTTACGTACCCTCTGTTGTCTAGAGGTACACTTTTGGATTACAGTGTGTGCGCGCGTTCGATTTAACTTGACGATTCGCGGCGTCGCTGGTTTTTGTGTGAACGCCGTGGGTTAAACTTCGTATCGCGTACGCGCATGTGTGATTACCTCGTAACGTTACCGGCGATTCCCGTGTCGCGAGAAACAACGATCCGATTGTTTTCTCCGATCAAGACGGTCCACCTCGTACAGTGGACAACCAGTTCAACCTCGTGTGTGCTTATCGTTGTTTCGGTGTCACGTTGTAACGCTGGATTATCAGTGCCCGCGACCAGAGAAAGATAGTAACGAGGGACGTGGTGGTTCGTTGTTGCGCGACCGTACCAAGAACGCGACGAAACGAGTCCGTGCATCAGTGACAACCGTTCATAATTTTTTTCATCACGAAAAACACATCGTCGTTTTACCATGATTCGGACGTAGTAGCACACGAGTCGAAGAGGATTTATCTGCCGCGGTGGTGCGCGACGATGGTTACCTTCGCGAACGTGTACCGTAGAAAAACGTGACTGGTGATCGATATTGTACGTGCCAAGGGAACAAAGTGTGTTTTCTTTCATGCTTACGCTTTCAACATCGTCGTTGTCGTATCGTCGTCGTTGTCGTCGACATCCAGCGCAACCGGTGGTACCTTAAGTACCACGATCTCGCACGAGGCGCGCTGTTCACGCGTCGGAACTAAAAGGGGAACCCGTAACCGCCGTTTCTCGTCCCGTAACGCCATCGGCGATATATCGTTAACCAAGGTGGCTAGAACCGGGAGAACTATCAGCCACTTCATATATGAACCGATACGCCACGAGCACGTTCCTCCGTGCAGTGCTTGCGCAAGGGTGATATGTTATTGGAGATGGAGCAGCATTCGGGCCTGATATCCCTGAATATGTCGCCGTTCCATCTAAGCCCTCAGGGCAGTCCCCAAGGTGCGGCCGGTGCGGGCCAGCAACAGCAACAGCAGCAACAACAAGCGCAGCAACAGCAACCGCAATACGGTTCCTCGCCTTACGGCAATTGCGCTCACAGTCCGCCCACGACGATGTGCCACCAGTCGCAGTCGCAGCCATCAACAACAGCAACAGCAGCAGCAGCAGCAGCAGCAACCGCAGCAACAACAACAACAACAACATTTGCCGGTACACGGTCAGGTACACTCGCAGGGTGGTATATCGGGCTTCGATGCCGTGTTCTTCGACTCGACCGCCCTGGAGGAACGGTGCCCGATGTGCGGCGACAAAATGTCGGGTTACCAATACGGCCTGCTCACGTGCGAGTCTTGCAAGGGGTTTTTCAAGCGCAACAACTCGCCGTGCAGCAG